AGACTGAAAGCCACAAACTGGTAATATACTCAACTACGTTCAACTTATATATAATATAGTACAAAGCATAACATATCTTTTTGTGTATATAATGCACTATACATACATTGCTATCATAGAATAAAATTCCAGACAACCCTTTGACACTCGTTTATACAACTTACAGTTGTTATATTGGACCACTGAACTTGACGCTTTACAAACTTTCTTTCAACAAAATTTTTTTTTCTTTCAACATTTTAATACTTTCATGAATAATTTTATTGATTTTTATGATGAAACTTCATGTCTATATAATGACATTTGTTAGTTTTACAGACTCATTCATAATGTATTATTTAGCAAGTATGAAAATTAATTAGAAGAAAATTTTCGTCTGAGAATAAAGATAATGCAACAGAGAAATAGTTTGAAAATCTTAAAATACTATCAACATACTTAAGTACATATTATCAAGAAGTTAAACAAGGAAGACTAAAGAAGAGTTAGATGGTGAGGAAATGAGAAATTCTACCTGCAGTCCGAATTACTATTGTACTAAAACTAAAATACATCCGCATCGGTACTTAGGAACATTCTTGTGAGTTTTGTGGCACAAGTAAGATTACTGCCATCAGGATCATTTGTCTTAAACGTATCCTTTTTCTATTTCCTATTTATCTATTTTTTTTCTTTGTCAAACTTTAAAATTTATATAAGTTTCGATAAATTTTCAAGAGATTACGATTTTTTTTTACAAATCATAAAATCTGTTATTTTTTATTCATATCTTATCAAACCGACACATTTAGAGTTTGATATATGTCCGATGGGACATGAATTTGAAAACTTTTATTTTTATTAAAATTGGCATGTTGTAAAAAATATTTATGACTGAAATAAATAAATGTATAATAAAATTCATGTGTAAATAATTAATAAAAGTGGCATTTTATTCAATGAGTCATTTAAATTATTCTATAATCAATTTTATTTAATTATGAACTATTTTATAAATCCTTAACAACGTAGTTTTAATTAATTGTTACTCTGTTATTTATCAGTTATATTTTGACCAATTTTTTAAATAATATCTGAAAAATTACTACTAAATTAATATCTACATTATATTTTTATATGAATTTTATTATTCAAAAATAATATTATAAAGTAAAAATAAAATTTGTTCAATATATTAAATATTTACGTTGATAAAAATTTTATTATTCAATATTACATCAAGTCCATTTTGTAATGGTTTTATCAATGGATAAAAATTTATTGCTTTAGATTTGAGGTTTTAATACCTACACTGAAAAAAATCATGTTTAATTGAAGTAAGATTTACTAATAGTTGATGTAGAATTTTAACTATAAGCATAATATGGTAACTATAAATAAATGCTTTTTTCAGTGTAATTACTTTCTCGATCACTTTTAGCAAAAAATAACAAAAATAAATACCATAATATTAAAACAAAATTTTTTTATGAGATTATACTTATTTATTCGTATATATCGTAATCTATATGCCTATTCGATAACCCGAAACTCAATTTGAAAACATAGTAATGTAATATCCGGCTGTTAATCGTCGAAGGGAAGAAAAAAAATGACTCAAAGACTACAGCTCTATTTTGATATATGTAATGTCATCCGGTTGCAAAATTGTTCATTCGAATATCCGATGCTTTATAACTATCTATTTCCGTTTTAATTTCTCATGCTTTTCAACTAAAGTAATTTAGTCATTAGAATAAATTTTTTAACCCTGGTTACAAGTGCTTTTAAAATAAATTTCAAGTTTTATTTTCATCTCTATAACTAACGTCTAAAAATGTTTTCATTACATATACCATTAATGTGAACGTGTATTTTTAACATTTCATTATTTAAGTAATTAAGCTTAATACTTGGTATAAAAGTTGAAAATTATTTTTCAAGTCAACGTTCGTGCCAATTTCATTTAATAATAATGCAGGATTAAAAAATAAAACCGAAAAAACCGTAATAAGATTTAAGAAAAAAAACACATGGTAGAAAAATGATAAGTCTATGGATCACAGAAAAGATTGAACAATTTATAAAGAGTATTTTAATCTTTAGAATATAAAAAGCTTTGTTTGAAGTAGCGTTTTCATAAAGTGCTTATGAAAATTCTTCTAGTGATATAAAATTTAAGAAAAAAAATCGAAAGGAAATAAAAGATAATGTTTTGATAAAATGGAGATTTACTTTGAGTCTTCTAGATGTCAAGGCCATAGTTGAGTTCAAGGACTTTTGGAGTGTTGATTCTAATGAAGAAAAGATAGAATTTTATTTGTCAGATAAATGAGATCGAATGTTTGATCATCAAATACATATATGCATAAGGATGTATATACCAATATGTCTATTGCATTCTGTGGATATCTACTTTCACGAGAAGTGATTTGCTTTCTCACTTCAAATATGTTACAAAAGAAAAAAAAAACAAAAATTGATAAGTTCTATATGCTGAATCTTCTTCAAACGATAAAAACGTTACTTTGAAAGGGATCTTTCTTTATACTATCATATCTATAACAAGAAAAATGCATCAATAAGATTTCTTTGCATCTTGAACAATTTTTCAAACTAGTTATATTTGTTGATGGATTACTACTGTCAAAAACGATATTCTCAAATGTGTAGATTTTAGAGAATAAAAAATGTATATTCAAGTAATAAATTTTAAATACACACTAATTTTCTTCTTTTAAAAAAACATCTTTCAACAATTAAGAGCACGAAAAAATAGAGTGCTTTAGGAATATTTTAGCAGTGGAGAATTATAAGTAAATTACAAGGAAAAATTTTACTTAAAAAAAGTTAATGAGATAATTGAATTGAGTTGAGCTCGGATATAAGCGAGAATCCTTTAGTCTGATATTCTCACAATATTTAACAGCATGAAGCTTAAATTGATCCACCGTGGTCAACGATATTAGTAAATGACATAGAGTGAGTTAACATTATATATTCGATACCCTAGCTAACTCTTGTACCTTGTTGTGGTATCATAAATGTGAATACTGTGGAGGTATACTAAAATGAATAATATCTCATTTGCATATTGCGTGTGACTTTGTTCCTGCTGTTGCATTGGCTTTATTAATAATGCATCGTATACGGTCAAGCGTTATAGATTTTGATATAATATGAAAGTTACAATAATGTAGCAGTTAATCTTATTAAAAGTTAAAGAGTTGTATGAATAAATAATGAATTCAATATTTATTCTTTCTTTCTTGATAACATTGGCTTATTTCCAAACTATTATTACTCTCTTCTGCATAAAATGTATGCCACAATACTCAATGTATTTTATGATTTCATTGATGTCGTGAGATAGTTGTAATTTTCAGATTTTTTTCTCAAAGATTCTTTCGATGAAAAAAATATAAAAAATTATTTTAAACTTTTGTATCATTTCTAGCGTTGGAGGAAGGAAAAGTCCATTGACTTTTTTTCACATAAAAAGTATGCACAATATTCGATACTGATATTGAAATCTTCGTTGAGAAGTTGAAATAGATGAAGAGTTTTTTTCTTTGCCAACCGACTTTGGAATAATAAGTAAAAAAAAAACTATATACATTTCAAGCATCTAAAAATTTTAGCTCTCACTATGCACATTTCTAGAAAACCTTCCAATCAATACTGTCATTTATATTCCACTGGATCCATATCTCTTAGAGATCATACTACTAGAAATCGATAGTGTAGACTACAGTAAATTACAGGAGTACAATTACAAAGAGACGATATGAAATGTTGCTGGAATGTGTTCTATATGTGTACACTATATGTATTCATAATTCTACATTTATTATAAATTGCATGTTGAAAACACATGCATTGATTATTTTTACTTTGAACGAATATTTATTGTATTTATTTAATAAAAGCCAGTTCTAGTGATCAAATTATCAGACTGATAGTAAAAACTTATTGACAATCGTGATTGTATTAAATTTCACTGATATAATTTCCCATGTGGCGAATTACTGCATTCATAATATGCCACGGAAAATTTACATTAATTAACTTAATTGAAGTAATTTCAGCAAAAAATTCATTGAAATAACCTAATGGCTTGAGTTATTAATTTTTGGTATATTATCAAAAGCCGATAAAGTTTACTTTACAATAAGTTATTATTAATAATTGTTATTATGTTACGTAACAGAGTGAAGTCTTACAACTTACAATATTTGACCTGCAAATAATCGATTCTTAGATTGTTGTTTAGTTTGTTCAACAGTTTGTTTTCTATTTTATGGAGCTGATATTGGTAAATTAGCTGGTTTATAGATCAAACAGGCAATCGTATGATTGCATAGAAAATAGTTGGCATTGCTTTTTGATAGAAATAAATGTTACAGAAAAAATTTTTTTCCAATAAATTGATGATAATCGACTTTTACTGTTCAAACACGTTTGATAGGATGTTTTTCAACCTCGTGACGACTTTTCTAAGATTCTGAGAAAAAAATTTGACAAAATGATGAAGAAAAAAGTGACATTTTCAAGTAGGAACGTTCGAAATTCATAGTACCAAAAGTTACTCGTTGACCTGCTAGTGTTCCAATCCTTTTTATATCCATTATTGGTTTTTTACTTTAACTTTCAAATTTGCTGAACATTTATTTTTCGGAAATAAGACTTTGATATCAAAATTTTTCTTCCCAATAAAATTACAAAAAAATTGATATTTAATTATAAAAACAGTTGAATGATATTTTCTTAAAAAGTTGAAACCGTGAAATAGTTCAAGAAGTTGGTATATTTTATGGTATTATTTTTATTTCAATTAACTACCATTATAAAGTTGATTGGGATAAAAACTATAGAAATATATATATTCAGCATTAAATCGTTAAGTTAAGATTTATTCAATATTTGTCAGAATTTCAAAACTCGTTCATTAAACTTTCAATTAAATTTATTAACTTAAATTAATAATCATGATTCTTCTATTTATAATCAAACATACTTACTTCTTGCATGGTAAAAATAGCTTATCATCGGATTACTACTCTTGTTCATTTATATCGAGATTCAGAGCTGCAAAAAAAAAAGATTGATCTAATAAGAATACAAGAAAAATCACAATTTGAGTAATTAAAAATCATTTTATCCATTATTTAAAATAATTATTTAGTCAATCCAAGTTGTATGTTTTAATAATAAAATTGAAAGCAGCATAAAGTATCGATTCTCAGCTGTGCGGCAGAGATGGAAGATAATTTACTAACTAAAGCTTGTTCGTGTTGAAAATAAACTTGCTTATAAGGATAAAGAGAAAATGATGAAGTACTGAAGTGAGGTAATCTCGGAGGATCTGCTACGCTACAGATGTCTAAACTATCAGGTAGGTAATTGCTTGATAACATTTGTTGCTCTTAACAAGTTAAAAAAGGAACACGTTTGAATTTAAATTTATTTTTAACGAAATGATTCACGGGTAAATATTATAATTTATTCATTTTAAATGCAAAATCTCTTCCTTAACATTACATCATTAAAATCTTAGTTCCACTCATTTATATTCATTTCATATTTTTATTACTATTTAATAAAAAAGTTAAAATTAAATAAATAAATAAATTGCTCGAACGGTGACGTTTTGTATTTGTTTCTGTTTACAAATAGATGAAATTCTAAAGCATAACATTCGATGTCAACAAAACCAAAAGCTTCTCGCCTATCTCAGAGTTTTCTTTCTCAAGATGTTTTTTTTTCACTTTTTCCCTTTTTCTTCTTTTGGGGAACGCAAAGCCGGTTATCGCTAGAAATGAATGGGGTACAATCTTTTCCATTCAGGTGTGGGTTACATTATCGTACAACTCGGTCAACGGCCGGAAGGCGACGTGCAATGGAAAGACTGCAAGCTCCTGCTTCACAATCTGTGGATGTTTCGTAAAAAAAAATGGGTCACAGTTTTTTTGCAGCAATATATTAAATAATGATTGTAGAAAAATAAAAATAAAGGGATTCAATTGAATCATAACGTTGTGAAAAAGATGAAAATGTAAAAAAGTAGTTAAACTTCTTACGCTTTGAGAACAACAATCATTCTATTCAATACATTACATCAATACAAAGAGTTGACATCTGAATTGCATATCATGTGTGAATGGAAGGGAAGTGGAGCAACTGGAATCTAGCCAAACAGTTAACTATTGAACTGAAAAAAATATCCAATTGAATTTGTATGGAAAACATCAGTTTTTGTAGAATACGAAAAAATTAGATGCACGTGAAGAAAAATATTCTTTTGTCACAATAAATGGAATTTCATGGAATTTTGATATATCAATAAAAAATCCATCATCAATAGTTATTAAATGTACACTGGAAATTTTTTTTTTGAAAATTGTACTACCAAACAAACAAACAAAATCTGGTATGACAAACAACAAAAACATTCTTGTGCAAAAATTACTCTCATGTTACGAGAAAACTGAGAACAAGTAAAAGTTGCAACAAAAATAATTTAGTAATTAAATTATTGCCTTTGTTGAATAAATCTTATTTTTTTTTAAAGTAACTTTTATTCCAAAATAACTAATTTTTACTGCATTTTTTATTCACCAATTAGCTTACTTACAATATAAGAAAAATTTTTATACCAAATTTTTTTAAAGGTTTAAAAAAAAAAACTTTTTTCTATACAATTAATTACTACAAAAAGTTTTTATTTTTTTAATCGAAACATCTGTATGTTGGAATAACAAATTCATTTTCTGTCTATTGTACCAACAAACTTTCTTGTTGAAATTTCATTAAAAAGAGTATTTATTTTTTTTTTAATTTTTATAATTTTTATATAAAACTTTGAATAAATAACTAATTATAATTTACTATAGTTTAGTATTTCATCATTATTAGGATCTGACAACGAATGATCTTCTACGAATAGAATTAAAAAAAAATCTTTTCGTAGTTTCTCTAATAAAGTCCAATTATTTGTGATAATATTTCATCAAAATAGCCTACTTTTCTAATTAGTTTGTTAATAAATAAAATAATAATATCAACGGAACGAAATTTTCACGTGGTCATCAGTTATGTTGAAAAATTGGAGAGAAACAACATTTGAAGAAATACAATACTAACAATTAATGAAGAGTAAAGACATTAATAATATATCATTAAAAAATTGAACTTGGGTGTTAGTATTTATGAAGCTAAATTTCTGAAAAAAGAAATGAAAGAGAGAAGAGACTAAAATATAGAAAAATTTACAGTGTCATTATAAACCTAAATAGGATTTTCCGAGCGAAACTAGAAGCAACCATCTCGGAAATCCTTTCTCACTTTAAAAATGTCTGTTACAAACGTCCTGAATTCATATATATATATAAACATATATCTGTACACGTATAAATACCAACGTACAACGACGTACTCTCTACTGTCTACTGCCATCCTAGTAGTGCGAATGAACGTAAAGATGTAACGAGGTACATGAAGTAAAAGAAAATTTTCTAAAAGTACCTCTTCTAGGCACTAACGTTGAAGTACAGTTAAATGTTTAAAGCATAGTGGGTTATAAATTTTAAATACTTTTTGTGCTTTACCTGCAGTAAACTATGGCAAAAGTCAGGTTAAATTAGAAACAGAAGGTTAAAATAATTTTGTGAAAAAAATTCACACTATTTTTTTCTTTCAACACACTAAACTACTTTAAATAAACACAACAATTATTAAGAAAATTCTTATTTTAAATGAAGAACAATTTTTTTCACTGAAATCTATATCACTTAATAGCTAGGCATAACTGAATAGAGAATCTAAAAAAAATCAATTTAAAAAATAAAAAATAAATTCGAAGACTATATTAAAATGATTATTTGTTATAAATAGATTAATTACAAATCCAATTGATGATTTATATCACATTTATCAATAGCTTATAATCAAACCTATTAGACAAACAATAGCTGTATAGCTTTAATAATTACCAGAATAATTCCTATCAGTATTCCAATTTTAATTTATTATCAACTAATTAATTAAGTTGAACAATGTTTCAATGATTATGAAAATATACAATCATCTTATGATTTTATAGATATTGATTATCAGTTAATATATTATTTGTTGAAAGTCTGTATAAATACACCTTCATTCTATTGAATGACACTTAGTTCGACTGTATTGATTTTACATATCAACTTAGTAATTAGAAGATCGAACTGTACATAATACTAAAAGCATCGGTTTGATTACAAAGGTGTCAATAGCTTGAATATCCCAGCTAGTCCAATATGATTGGATGGCTTTCGTGCTTGTCTTCTCATAACTCATAAATCTATAAATTGTTTTTCATTTATGCTGTTTTTATCCAACTGGTTATTTATGAGGTACTATGTTTTCAAAGCACGAGAATTCATGAGTTATCGGTTTAACTGAATTCATCAAATAGTCATGTATCTTTTAATTTCCAATTATCAATTTAACTTCATCAAATCAAATATATTTATCGGTGATAATTCATTTTAAGTATCATTCTGAATATTTAGTAATGACTAATTTTTTATTCCTCACGTATTGAGTATACTTTGATAAGTATTATATACAGCTACTTAATGCTCAACTTGATTTAGAACTTGGTACTCAAACTGATTGAGTGGAAATTCATAATTGATGTCAATTGTTTGAAAATAAATCCGAGTATAAACTTAGAGAAGCTCTTATCAGAATATCCTGAATTTTAATATAAAAAATTCCAAGAGGATTTTACTCATGAATGATTTGTCAGCTGACTGTATCAATCAACTAAGTCTAATTTTATTCATGAAATTGTAATTAATGTTGGTAAGGAATGGTTAATATTAGACTATTACAGGATTATATCATCTATAATAAACTTTGAATTGTCAATAAAAATAACAATGAACATATAATGTGACATGTCTAATCGTAAAATAAAAGTTTCACTGGTTTTATTCGTCGACATAACAAATGACGAGTTATGGCAGCGTGACAAGCTCTCAAAACTATTTTATCTTAACGAACCATCCCATCATATATGCACATTAATCAATCGTAAGTATCTGTAATTTTTAGAATTTTTTTATTCGATAGTGGTAATAGGACGGAAGGGGGGAGGTATCTGGCATCTAACAGCTTTATTTATGACTAAAGTTGAGATTAATAATTCAAGTTGAGGTACTTTGTTGGTAAAGTCATGTAAAAAACAACAATCTGGTTTCAAAGATCTTGATAGTTAAATCGATGGTGATAAAAGGTATAAATTAATTGCTCTGTGGATTAAGCAAAATAGTTAAAAGCATTCAATTGAAAATAATGCTGATACAGTTGGCAAGCAACGGTCATCAGCTATCACCAAATATAAAATCGATACTCTAGTTCTTCAGCATGCGGTGGGTATCTACATGCAGCTCACGTTATAGCTATTTCATGCCAAAAAGCAGTAGAAAGACAACGAGATGCACGTTTCAACGTTGACTATATAACTGTTGCATTTTCTCTTGCTGTTTTCTCTACAACTTTGTGTTCAATTCTGTGACTCTCTAGTTATGACAAGCATATAAACGATTTTTCAATCTCTGTCTGGTGTGTTTCTATCACCATACTGCGTCAGAAACTATTTAATTTGGAAAACGTATTACGTGTATCTCTTTTCAATGTCCGTTGTATTTTACGATTTGACATTTCATGTTCACTAGAGTCACTGCTAAAGCTTTCACCAAATATGGTTTTATATTGCTCGAATATATAAATTAATAGTCTTTTCCTACGAAAATTTCGTATAAAATGGATAAAATTTTCCCATAAAATGTCTAGGAAAATCTTTTGAAATGGTCGAAATAGGATTCGATTGAGCTTCAAGCTAAGAGGTAAAAGTTGACTTATCATAGACTTCAAGTAAATTCAACCTTCGACCTTATAATCAACCAGTCAGTCGTATTCTATGATTACAAACTGGTCTTAAAGGGCACTGTTGTATCGTTGAATAACACGCTATGCACCGGAAAGTTTAATCGTCTCGTTCCAATTACTTTAGGGAAGCATCTGTTGACGCTTCGCTTTAT